TGCTGAAAGATGGATGACCTAAGAGGGAATCAATGCTAGCAATCTGGAAAGAACCCCCGAGGTTTTCTGCTTGCTCCACGTCTGTTCTCCTCCGTAGGAGCACCCTCACGTGCGGTGGACAGAGGACCGGAGAGCGTGGAAAACACTCGCCGCCTCTGAAAAAGTAACTCCACCCTCCTTCCCTGGAACTCACACTCCATCTTGAAACAGCCAGAGACACAAAGCCCCCAGATTCCTTTCAACGAGGCTGTGGATGAGACTAAACGGCACAAAAGGGATTGTGCTCACACCGCCGGCTTTCCACAGAGGCTCTTCCCGCTCAGCTGCTGATGCTGCTTCTCTGGGAATAACACGCCCGCCTCAAGCGCCTGACCCGTGTTCCCCGAGCTTCCTGGAAGAGGAACAGAGGCCCCCGTCTGCCCCCTCCTCTGCTCTGCTTTCTAACACCGGATTCCCCGAGAGCCCCTGCTCTCCCCGTGCCCCGAGTCCTCTTGGTCTCTTTCCAGGGGACGGCACCTGACCTCTGTCTTGTCTGCATGGAGCCAAAGAGAGGGCCTCCTGGAGAGTCGGCGAGGTCCTGCCTGCATCTGAGTTCTCATCCCCCCGGGCTGCTCAGTCCTCCCGTGTGGTCTCAACATCTGAGCCAGCTATCCGTGGATTCCACTTCCAACCCCATCGGCCTCCTTTTCTAGGAAGTCCTAGGTAGGGGGAGCTGACAGAGGCAGCCCCGTCCCACCGTTGTCACTGTCACAGGGCCACGCCCTCCCCACCTCCGTGTTACTCTGTCATTAGTGGTCGGTGGCCCGTGGAAGTGCAGTGGGGCGGGGAGAGCTGTCACGCCGGGGAGAAGCCACTCTCTCACGTGGACTGAACACTTGCTGTGTTTCAGACCCTGCTGAAAGGCGAACTGTGTCTTGCTCTTTCCTCCTCTGCAATAAACTCTAAGGAATAAAAGGCAATGTCTTCCCCATACCCTCCCCACCCCCAGGAGAGCCAGATTTATTCAGAGTCTGTTCTTTCCTTACTCTTTGCATGGTGAGCAGAGGTTTTGGGGATTTTAATCTCTGGAAAGAAGAGAGTTTATCAGGACCTTAGAGGCCGCTCTAAAGAGACCTTGTTTTTGAATAGCCTGAGGGCGCTTCTCCGGGTGACTCCTGGCAGAATAAAGAATTCATTTAAGTAATTTTTGAACTCACGGGTCTGACACTATACCCTTAGTGTGATGTGTTCCAAGGCCAGGAAAAGCTATGAAGACATCCTCCACTTTAACTTGCTGAGTTTGTTGGTGGTGGTACCCCAGGAGTAATTCTGATGGTATTCTGATGATAATTTAGGGTGCCTTGAAGTTAGAGCATGTTAGCAACTAGGTGTTGGTGAGAACCACGGTTGTCCCTGGGAGACAGGATGTACAAATATGAAATGAGGGAGATATCGGGTGTGTATGTGTGATTTGTACAAATACAGAGTATGTTACGGACTCTGCTTCTTCACCCCTCGCTGCATCCACACCCTTTGCACGTGACTCTGCAGTTCCTCCCGCTAAAGAGGCAGGAAGGACCCCTCCTGGTCCTTGACTTCGGTTGGACCTTCTTTTGTGCCTTTTCGTGCCTTCTTTTGTCCAGTGGAGTGTTAGTGGCCCTGATGTGGCCAAAGTCTTGACAAGTGCCAGCAATGTTGGGTTTGCCCTTTTGTGCCGCTGTCATCACCATGAGAAGAATGCATCCAGGCTGGCCTCGTGGCCCCGGAGGATGAGAGGCATGTGGAGAAGAGCCGACCACTCCAGGGAGCCCCACCTAGATGGCCTGATCCCTAGCAGATCCCCAGACACGTGAATGGGCCCAGCCAAGATAAGCTGATCTCCAGCGAGTTCGACAATCCACAAAAATCAATGATTATTCTCTTCAGCTGCTGAGTTTTGGGGGGGGGGATTGTCAAGCAGCATTTCTGAGACAAAAGCTAACTAATACAATCAATGGGTTGGTGGGGTGGAGCAGGAATAAAGGAAAGGAGGAGTTCTGCACGGGACAAGGCATGATCCAGAGCACCGAAACCAGCAGTTTGACAAATGTCACCTGCTGATGACACGCGAGTACCAGAATTGCATCTTTCAACTGAGAGCTCGGGCTAAGGCCAGAGCCAAAAGAACACTGGTGAGCTCTGTAGCTATGGATTTACAAGACATACATTTGCAAGAATTACACAAACTCTGAGATTTTTTTTTTAAAGAATAATATTAAGATCATCACATTTTAGAAGTGAACAAATCCTCTTAGGTCATTTAGTCCAACCCCTCATTTTACCAATGATGAAACCCAAAGAGATCGTTAGGATGTTGCAGGCGTAGATCATTAAGATGTTGCAGATGTAGAACAGAACATGGGTTTCATTGCCACCTCTTCCCACTCCCCCAGGTTGCCCTGAAAGGCCACAGAGCCTTCTTACCCTAAGGGGAAAATTCTTGAGAGACTGCCCAAGATTGCTCCTCAGAGGCTCCAGCCCCTTCCCGTTTCATCTTTAACTGAACCGGGTTCCATGTTCACATTTCCACATCCAGCACCATCATGAAGCTGGCATTTCCATCACACCTCTGCCCAAGAGAGGGGCTGCCTCCTCTGTGAAAGCACTTTACTTCCTGAAGATGCTCGGGCCACATGCTGACCCCAGAAGGTATCATCAGCAGGGGAGACATAAATAAATGCAACAGATACATTGTGTATCTTGTTCCACCCCTGCAAAGAATCAAGATGCAGATCATATAACAAGATAAAATAACTTTTAGGAGAGCAAGTGAATTCAGAGCCATTTGAATAGGCTGACAAGTGCTATGGATACAAGTTGGGCACTGCAGGAAGCATCTGATAGTTGCTTGGTGAGGAGGAAGTTGGACCAGGCACCAGGAGACGTGAGAAGTTTCTAGTGCCAGCTTTGTCACCACTGGGGGACCTAAGGTAGGTTACTCAGCCTCTCTGGGACCCACCCAACTGTAACCTGGGGATAGCGGCAGCCCTCCTGGGCCTCTCAGAGACAGTGGGGTGGTTCCAAAGACTGTGATGCTTAAATTGGCCATTTCTCAGGGGAGAGGTGGCAATCCTTCCTCTGTCCCAAGGCAGCCTGTCCCTTCTCTGCTCCGTGAACAAAGGAGGTTTCTGCTGGAAGTCAGTCTCCACTCTTCTCCTATAGGTGGTGTGGTTTAAATCACTCCTTCGTTATTCAAACATTCAACCATTTACCTTGAATCTCACGAATCCCTCTTCTTCCCTCCCTCCAACGGCCTCTCCACCACCATCCTCTGTGGAGCCGTCAGCCTCCTGCTGACCTGCCTGCTCACAGGCCTGCCTCCCCAGGATTCCCCCACCTTGCGGCAGAGAGGCCTTGATAACATGCACCGCTCTGAGGACAAAGAACACACCTCAGAGCAGACAGCAAGCCTCCACATCCCATGGTGGCCACCTCCCCAGCCTCTCTCTCCTCCTCCCGCCTTCTCCGCACCCCAGCTGTACTCTGTTCCCTCAAACCTCTTGTGTCACCTTGCCAGCGCTACCATAACAAAGTACCACAATCTGTGTGGTTTAAGACAACAGAAATTAATTCTTTCACCATTCTGGAGACCTGATGTCCAAAAGCATGGTGTCGGCGGGGTGGGGCTCCATCTGAAGGCTCTAGGGGACAGCGATGTTCTTCCCTCTGCTGACTCACCCCTCCTGCCCACCTGCCGGCAACCTTCATCCCATCCCTCCATCCCACCTGCAGCTCAAGTCAAGCACCCCCACTCCAGGCAGCCTCCCCGATCTCCGAGGTCAGTGCCTCTTATACCCGCTGGCCCGTCTGCTGGCCCGTCTGCTGGCCCGTCTGCAGTACCATCCTCGCTGGGGTACTATTTGATGAACGTTTGTTCCCCATTAGACAGACGCTCTGTGAGGACAGGGTCAGGCTGCTTTGCTCATCACGGTGGCCCCAGCACTAGAACAAAGCAAGGGCCCAGCACACTCAACGTGGGTGAGTTAACCAGTGAGCACACTGACTGCGTGCCGGGCCACAGGGACACAGATACCAGGAGAAGGGAGGCAGCGTCCCCCGGTCTCCAGGCTCAGTAGGGAAGGCGGGTGGACAGATGCCTAAAATGGAAGGACCAGGCCAGCGGGACTGGGAGGAGGGAAGGAGTAGCCGTTGGGATTAAGCGAGGGGCTCAACTCAGAGCTACCAGTTGAGCTGGGGTTTAGGGGAAAGACGGAGAGAAGGGCAGTCCAGGCAGAGGGGCCAGTCTCTGCAAAGGCCCGGAGGTGAGAAGAGGTTCCATGGGTGCGTGAACGGCGAGCTCCAGTTCTCACGCAGTAGACCGACCAGGGCCAAACCAAAGGCCTTTGTCCAGGAGGAGAAGAGACTCCGTGGGTGCAGACGTTCCTCTAAAATCCATCACCTCCACATCCAGGTTGAAAGCAAGTCAGCGATTAAGTGGCCTTTTCCACGACAAACACCGGGATCGCGCTGATTTTACATCTTACTGGAGCCCCTCGGTTGTAACCACAAAGCCATGGCCACTGTTGAAGTACATTTCAAATCCAAACCCCGGGAATTTTTTTTTTTTTTTAACCAAGACTCTGGAGAAGCACAGCCAATGCCCTTTAGGAGACTGGGAAGAAAGGGTGGCAGCAAGAGAGTCCCCTCCCCCTGCTGGCCTGGCTCTTAGCTCCTCCAGTGGTCGCGAGTGACCCAGGGAGGCCCACGGCAAGACCCAGCCCCACGGAGCA